TGATGTTTTGCCACAGTTTCAGAAAGTAACCAAATTTCTACAAATGCTGGTTAATTTTTTACTGCATTTTAGGTTTGTTTTCATCTCAAATACATTTTTATAGTAAGACTGTTCTTAACATTTATTTATAATATATATTTTAAAATGTATCCAATCAGTTTATCTGAGGGTAGAGTTTGGCATAGATATTTTGTGGGATTCCATACATTTTTTACAAGACATCTTGGCATTTTTAAAGAAAATTTTATATAACAACTCATCTTAGGTTTTATAATTTTGAATATTTCTTATATTAGTATTACATTGGTACAAAAGTAATTGTGGTTTTTGCTATTAATGGAATGGCAAAACCTGCAATTACTGTTGCACCAAACTGTAACATGCTTTATAACTTATAAAGACTATTGCCTCAAAAGTTTACTTTACCTATATTGCTTCAGTTGACCCTAGCAATAGTTCTGTGAATTAGACAAAAGATAGCTAGTTCAGCATTCCATGTACACATCCCTGATTCTCTTTTTACTCACCCTTCAAATGACGGGATCTGATGAGTTCAGCTAGCTGTTGAGAGCATGTAATTGCAGAAAAGGTGTCAGGGCACGATGCAAGATTGTTGATCAGATGACATGATGAGAGCAATGTCGATGGATGGTGGGTCATGTGACCAGGGTTTCAATCAATCTTGGCCCATTCATCATCTGGATGTAGACTCTGTATATATCACTAGACTTTCCTGAGTCTCAATAAATCATAACTGAACATGAGTTGGAAGGGAAGAGACAAAATCATCTCCAAGGTCCCTCTCTTCTAGTTTGAAGTTCTGAAACTTGATGTGAACTCAAAAGTAAATGAAGCAGAATAAACACAACCATTAGAAGAATCTGTTAGAAGGTTCTAATGAAGCATGAAGGTTTTTCAGACCTTGTAACACAAAATGTGTATGGACATGTTATCCTAGGCATTCTACAAATAGGCAGCATCTCTTCACATGGAATGTACCAAAGGTTGTTTTCATATCCACACTGGTACCTTTTGTTATATGTGACCTGAGTTTACTCTGGGAAAGCAGTTACTCCATTGACGTGATCTACTTCTAGAAGTAATTTTTTATTTATCTTAATTATAGCAAATGAAACTTTCCTACTAACAATTTAGAGAAGGCATCGAAATAATCACTTTCAAATATTGAAGATTAATGGAAACAAAGTTTACACTGGCTAGGAAAAGTGTTTGCCTTGTTTCTGGTTAGATAGTATTTTCGCAACCATCCGCCTGTGAAATGTGGAGTGAAAAACTTACAGAAGCCATTTTTAGAAAGCAAAAATGGCATCATATATTGATATTCCAGATCATATATTTATGTTCTCATGTTATCTCTTACATATGAGATAACATATGTATCCCATGGTAATGGTCAGTCAGGAATATCATTTTCTTATTCACTAATCCATAAACTAGACAATTGACTGAAAATCAGTGCTAAGATTTATTGTCACCAGTGGTACATTTTACAAGGAAATGCAGAGCTTTCTTTTACATCATCTTGGATTAAAGACTACATTTTATCACCAGTTTTTTAGAAATTTCCTTTTCTGGAAATCTGTGTTCCTATTTGGAAAAATTCTTAATACCTTCTCATTATCAGCACTGCCACCAGTCTTCACCTTTGTAATAATTCCTAGGTAGATGCCAATGCACACAAACCCAACCTATGTACCCCTGCTCCCAGACGTGGAAAATATTCTAACCAGGGCCCATATTTTTAGAATTTCATAGAAATTAGTCTGTTTTACAATACTAAGATTGCTGCAGGAGAACATTGGATCTCTGACCCTCTATTTCTATAGATTACATAGAACTATTAGAAAAAATAGCTTCATGAACCCAAAGCTCAAATTATTGTTTTGTATCTCTGAAGTAACTTATCAGACAGTTGTAATAATTCTATTTCCTTTCTTCAGGTAAAGTAGACAAAGTTGGCTAATTCTTTAAAGGCTGGATCAGTATCTTATTAATTTGTGTTTCCTTTGCACCTGGTAGGTGTCAGTAAATTTCTATTGAGTAAACCAAGGGCCTCATAGGCTTCCAACAAAGGACAAATACGCAAGATGCTTATTAAAGAATAATTCATAAGATAATAGTGGCTAAAAGGTCATCTCTTCTTTCCGTAAATGTGTTCAAGAAACATGAGAGTTCAGAGTGAACTGAAGCCTTCCGAACTTTAATATACCTAGTGCTGAAATCTTCAACTAATTTATAGATATGACTTTTGTAGTATGTCATGGAGATAATTTGTCTACAGTCATTTCACTGGCATCACTGAATAGCTATTCTATAATAAAATTCCATCATTATGATATTGAATCAGACTTAAATACAGAATGTAAGTTGTACTTTATTGTAAAATACATTTAAATACTTTGATTAAACCTTACTAACTCGATTTCAAATGACATTTCATTCCTTTAGTCTCTCAGTTTTTGTCCCTTACATGGTAAATCCATTTTCTTGACTTCTCAGTGTATTCATTGATTCTATTTTTCTATTAGTTACTTAAAAATTAGGATATTTATGTCGGTTATGTTAACTACAGTTACTTAATAGTTTTAAACTGTGCAATAGTGAAGCTAGTTCAAATATATTTCCTCATGGTTGAATTGCATTTTAAGAGTCAGTCAGTACTTCCCTCATAATCTTTCACTAATGTTTGTTCCTTCCTCAGCATCTTTTGGATTCCAGCTGTTGCTAATCCAGTCCAAGGCTTTCATGAAGGGTTAGAGTTTAGCTCCAATTTAGCTGAGCCGGTAAAAGGAAACCTGAAATATACTTACTGTGGTCTCACTGGAGGTGAACAAGAGATGAACAGGATGCTATAATTAACTCAGTTTCTCTAGGTCAGTGGTTGTCAAGGGTTGGTCCCAAAGCAGCAGTATCAATCAACATCATCTGGGAAATTCTCAAACCGACTAGAGCAACTAGAGCCACAGAGTGAGAAACTCTGGAGGTGGAGCCCAGATATCTGGTTTCACAAGCCCTCCAGGTGATCCTCAGCACACTCAACTTTCAGTCCCACTGCTTTAGGTCTTCTCTTAAGATGAAGTATTCCCCAGGGATTAAAACAACTAAGAATAACATCCCATCTTAGGAAAGTCCAGGTAACACAACCCAAATCTCAATTTAAGTTAAATCTCAGTTTAACTTAAACGGAAACTCAATAGTATGCATGGATTTCCATGTCAGACAAACTTGAGCTTGCACTCCAGTGAACAGACCTCACTCATCTTGGGCAACCGCTGTGAGCCTCAGCTTCTTTTGTTTGTTTGTTTTAAGAGATGGGGTTTCACTCCGTTGCCCAGGCTGGAGTGCGGTAGTGCAATCATGGCTCACTGCAAGCTGGAACTCCTGGCCTCAAGTAATCCTTTCTCACAGCCTCCTGAGTGGCTGGAACTACAGGTGCGCACCACCACACCTGGATAATTTAAACGTTTTTTGTAAAGACAAGGTCTTTCTATGTTACCCAGGCTAGTGTTGAACTTCTGGGCTCAAGCAGTCTTCCAGCCTTGGCCTCCCAAAGTCTAGAGATTACAGGCATGAACTATCATGCCCTGGCTGGTTCTTTATTTTCAGAGTAATTTTTACCCTTCTGGGCATTGTGAGGATAAGAAATGATATATGAAAAACAAGAACCAGGGTTGCTTTTATCACGTCACTAACAAGGCATAGGCATTGGGGCCCTCATTTGCATAGGCTCCTTCTAAATAATAATATGCTTGGGTCTAATTTTATATTTGAAGTTTACACTCTCTTAACTTACGGAGGCCTCTCAATTTGTATTGGTTTCAGCCCCATAGAATCTGGAGGCATTTCTGGCGTGGTACAATGCCTAACACATGGAAGAGGATTGACAAGTGTTAGTTATTTTGGTATTGAGTCTATTCACTATTTCTGCCACCTTTTGTTATTTACATTCAAGCCTTGAACTGTATACTAGAACAACTTACCAGCATAGCACATAGGCATATGATGGACCCATAGTACACATTTATGGATGACCATGTCATTGAACTCTATTTAGGAAACAGAACTTGAGTGCCGAGGGAGTTAATCGCTCACAAAACAAGAGCCTGCATGCTTCTCAGATCAGGCAAAGATTCTAGCCTTTTCATTTACATTTAGCAAATATTTGGCAAGCAAAGTATACGGAGAGAGTTTTTTTTTTTTTTAAGGCAAAAATCTTTTTAAACCAATGTGAAGTTGCTTAAGATTCAAATGATAGTTCTTCTCTAAAAGTCAAATTGTATTCTTTGCCCTCTCTTTGACAATGATTATAGTAATTGAACAGAATATAGTCTTCTCCATTGAAGTGTATGAATGTAGACACTTAAAGTTATATTTTCAAAGAAGCATGAATAGACTTAGCCATGTGTCTCCTGTTAATACCAGTGGTGTCATGCAAGGAAGTGCTTTTGGTCATTGGATTGAAAACGTACTCCATGACATTAAATGCAAGTATCCTTTAGTATCATCAATTATCCAATTTATCTATGACTTCTTTTCAATTAATTTTGTTCTGGAATGTAGAGTTATCTGACTTTTTTTCTGGTTTAATGATAGTAGTGCTTGCATTTTTAGTATTTATCAAGTGCTGACTGGATCTTTTTGGTTGAAAAGTTGGTTAGGGAAATTACTGTCAAGCTCACTCACCACCATAGTAACCAAATTTTAATACCTTCTCGGGATACAGACATTTATATAATCTAACTCTGTGGCACTGAGGTGCAGTGTATGTAGTGTATTTATGATTGAACAGAAAGTTTCAAACAGCAGCCTGTGAAATTGGATTTTAGATGTAATGTACCATAAATAAGTGCTATAAAGATTGCCTTTAATGCTATAAATCAGATTTTATTGGTTTCAGCTATCTCATTCTGGTTATTGTATTACCCACAAAATCAGAGGAAATCAAAGAGCTGGAATATTTTTTATTTTAATATCCCATATTCTACAGTAATGGCACATGCACCCTTACAGCTTCCTTTTTGGGTAGGTTGGACAAGGTTGACAGGTGGCAGGCCCCAGCAACATATCAGTGGCAGTATCGGTGTAAACAACGAAACTTTGGGGCTTGAAACAGTTTAAGATTTCCTGTCTGTGAAACCTACAAGGTAGGTGAATTGGCAGATCCCTTCCCCGTCTGAGAAGCTGGTTGTCATGTTCTTCATGCTAAGCTGACACCTGTAGAAATTGGCAGGTGATGTGTGCTGTGCATCTTCTGGAAAGTTTATAGACTTTGGTGATGAGGCTATCTATCCATTGAGGATGGGGATGCCCATGCATGACTTACCCGAGTTATTTAAAGCACCCAAAACTGTTGCTATAAAAGAAAGTTGTCTACTTAAGCAATCTCCCAATATTTGATTTACAACCAATGCTTCTGCACCCCTCCCTAACACTTTGATGGTTTTCTACTAAGTACAGTTTAGTCCAGAAAATTGACTGTTTTTTAAAAATGCTTGGGAAAGCTTACAAATGGAGTGTTAGAGCCCAAGAGGCTACAGTAATCTAAAAATGAACTAGTTAGGTCCAGAGCAGTATTTAGGCTATTTAATGTGCAGTTTGTGCTTGTGTGTGGTTTTCCTCAATGTGTACTTACACAAGTATCCTGGGTTCAAGATACAGTGAAGCACCTACCCAGGCCTTGAACATCTGACTTTCATTTCATTGGTCAAGGTTGAAGCCTTGGTGTAATGTGAAGAAGCCAAGAGGACAAATGGGATTTCTTGAACAGAGGTCATCAGTGACACACATCCTCATTACGCTTCACTTTTTGATTATTTTATTTTTACTGTGGCATCATGCCAGATATGTTCTCATTAGTTCCCACACCTGTAAAATAACCAAATTTAGCAATCAGAGAAGATATTGAAATCTTGTGTTTTATCTTGATTAAAAAGAAATCTAATTCCACAAATGCTTCAGTGATCTTTAACCTGCTGCCTGCTGGAAATATAAGCCATATATACCGTCCTTGTTATGTCTGAGTTCAGCAGTTAATATTAAAAAAAAAAAAAAAAAAAAAAGGAAATCTTGATGCCGCCTTTACTGGCTACAAACTAAGCTGGCAGAACTAGGGCGATTATGCTGATTGGGGCTTAACATTTATGACTGCCAATTCACTGCTGAAAATACAGCCAAGGAGCTCAGTCCTAGACCTGGGAGGCAGCTGGATCCCAGGGTGTGCTTTGGCACTTGTTTTAGGCTGTGCCCAATTTCCTGGGAGCCCCAAGGGCGGCCTGCATCGAAGAAGGATCTGTTGCTGTCTAGAAGTGCAAGTGCAGCTGCAAGCGGGAGCAAGGGGGCTCTTTCCTTTAAACGCTGCGACTCTTGTTCCGTGTTCTTAATGGGGCATGAGGGAACCTTGATATGGTTTGACTGTGTGTACTCACCCAAATCTTATCTTGAATTATAACCCGAATTGTAATCCCCAGGTGTCGAGGCAGGGAACTGGTGGGAGGTGATTGGATCACGGGCAGTTTCTCCCATACCGTTCTCGTGATAGTGAGGGAATTCTCACGAGATCTCATGGTTTTAAAAATGACAGTTTCTTCCTGCGGTCTCTCTTCCCTCCTGCCACCTTGTGAAGAAGGTGCCTGCTTACCCTTCACCTTCTGCCATGGTTTCCTGAGGCCTCCCAGCCATGTGGAACTGTGAGTCAATTAAACCTCCTTTCTTTATACATTACCCGGTCTCAGGTGGTATTCTTTATAGTACTGTGAAAACAGGCTAATACAAACCTCTTTCCCTTTCTCTCCAAGACTGACCTTCTTCAAGGTGCTGTTACCAACCCAAACCCTCCGTATTGATTTAGTTTCAGACTAATTGTCCTAATTTGTATACCTTCGTTGTCCCTCTCTATATGACTTTCTTTAGACAAATGCTGAAAAAAATTAATTGATGTCTTGGTTTGTTTGATTTGCCATACCTCATCTCCTGTCGTAGTCTAATCAGCCAGGATCACCAGAAATGAGTTTTTACTCAGCAAAATCAGATTTATCGTACCATTGCAATGAGGGAGATCACGCACCAGGGGAATTGTGAGGTGTGTCACCAAACGAAGGAAAAGATAGAGGTTAGTATAGGATTTTGAGGGATAATGGAGTTTAGGTGAAACTTAAATAAAGCAGTATTTGGATAGGCTCAAAGCAAAGCAGGGGGCTGTGTGCAAAGGTTTAACATCAAGTCTGGACTGTGAAGTGGATCTAAGGTCCTGTTTCCTTGGAAACTAGACAGTTAAGATAAATGTAGAATGTTGTGTCCAGAAACCCCTTATTTGGAGCTCTGCACCTGGATTTGAAATTGTGGCTGATTTCTGTGTCAAAGTGATTTAAATCCTCTAGGCAAGAATGGGATGTTTCATTTTTACTGATACAATTTCCAAAAAAAAAAAAAAAAACTCCAAGGTTTTGATAGGTTATGATTTTAGACAACAAAGTATCTTGAGTAACAAAGCAATAGTCACTGATAAAAGGGGATTATTACGACACTTTATAGCTGTAGTAGGTACTTGGGAGAAATATCATTTCCTGTTAAATTGTCAGCTGGCTTTATTTGAATCTATTATTCCAATTTGTTAATGGCCAGGTGTATTTTTTTACTTCCTCAGTCTAATTTTTACTTTTTTACTCTCCATATCATTTAGAACAGTTAGTTTGTAAAGAAAAATACTCGACATAAATGGGATTAAATTGTTAAGAAAATGTGTGGGCTAACAACAGAAAAGTCAAGGAATAGAAAGGGTTTCAGGCAAGATTTGATCAAGCAGCTTTTAAAACAATTACTATAAATGTCTTATTTCTGTCTCTTCCCGTGGCTTTCTGTACTGTCTACTTTTCCCACATCTTAAATATGGCTTCTTTTAAAACTCACAATGATTAACTTTTTGCCTTTGTTTCCATCGTAACTCTATTCTTTCATTAATTCATGCTTTTCTCAGTCTTAAGAAAATATCAGTCTTTTAGTTCATTCATTCTGTCTTCATATGGATGTTATTTAGCTGTTTAATCTGTCTCTTCTATTTTATATTTTAATTACTTCCTTTCTAGACATTCCAGGTGGTTATTTTCAAGTCTGCCTGGCTTTATAATATCACTCGTGCTTTTTACACAATTTCAATCTCCCTTTTTATGTCCTCAATCATTTTAAGTATATGTAGTTTTTATTCTATATCTCATAGTTCTATTATCTGAAATCCTTAGGACCTATTATTTGTTATTTATTTGTATAAATAGTGAATTTAGTGAATTTTTTTCATTTTGTTTGGTAATTTTCCATCATAAACTTATTTTCTTTTTACTTAGTGGTGTCCTATACAGCTTAGGTATAAGCATTAGGGTGGGGGTACAGGTGGAGGGCAGGAATCCCAGGAGTATTACTGGCCAAGAATCAGGGTAAAGATTCAGACCATGAGATGAGTCTATGTGACAGCATATCTGTAAGTATGTATTCTCAAGGAAATGTTGATTTACCCAGACTCTAGTATATCTCCCTGTGCTGGGGGGCACTGGGCAGGGACAGATCCTCATTTTTATTCATTATTTTTTAAAGGATTAGGCTTTAAACTTTGCCTACAAACCCAGTTATAGCTTTCTAACTTTTTGCAGGCAGCATTGGCCTATCTTGGACTTTAATTGAAAGCTGTCTCTCTGGGCATCACAGAGGTAGCTCCCGCAGCTTCTAGGGACAGGGATATGTGGCCATCTTGTTCATGTTCAACCAACAAGGTGAGTGTCTGAGTAGCTCTTTCAGAAAACCTAGGAGATATTCGTCCCCCTCCTGCCCCACTTTCTTGTATCTTATTGGGTCACGTTTCATTAATTGTTTTGAACTAAACATTGGGAAACTAAATGATTGGGAAAAGCTGATTGTTAAACCAGTCGGAGCCCACCTCACTGGTTGAGAGTGGTGTTACCTTCCCCAGTGGTATACAGGGTGCCCGGGTGAGAGATGGAAATCCAAATGGGAAGTGGAACACTGATGCCAAGAAAGCAGGGCTAATGTAGCCAATGTCACATATTCGCCCACTGCATTACACATACTTTAATTTAGTTCAGTTCAACAAGCGTTTATTTAGTGCCTGTTTTTTCCATGATAGGAAACAGCCCTGAACTTAAGATTGCATAATTATATTCCTTACTAAGAAAGATCTTGCTTCCACTAAGTATCTACCTTTTGTCAAATATTGCTTGGTATATGAAATGCTACCTAAAAGCTGGCTTTTTTGTGATATGGTATTATTGGTGAAATATCTTTTATTTTTTATTGGGAAACATACAAAACATAAAATATGTATTATACACACGTGTTTATGTGCATATATACATGTATAGGTATATGTGTATATATATTTCATAAATAATAATAAAGTGAAAATCTGTATGCCATTACAGCTTAAGTAATAATGCAATACCAATAGCTTAAAAACCCTCTCTACCTGACCACAGAATTTTTACTTCCTTCAAAGGTAACACTTCTGATTTTTGTATTATTGATACCTTTGGGTTTCTTTATTCCTCCACATACATATGTAATCATAAACCATACTTTTTTTTTAGTTTTGGATTTCATATAAATGGAAGAATAGAGTTTATTTTTCTAACTCACTTTTTTTTTTCAATTTTTATTTTGGATTCAGGGGGTACACGTGCAGGTTTATCACAAGGGTATATTGTATAATGCCGAGGTTTAGGGTGTGATTGGACTGGTCACCCAGATAGTAAGCATAGTACCCAACAGCTAGTTTTGCAGCCCTGGCTCCCATCCCTCCCTCCCCGCTCGTGTGGTCACCATTGTGTATTGTTCCATCTTTGTATCCATGTATACCCAATGTTTAGTTCCCACTTATAAGTGAAACATGTGGTATTTGGTTTTCTGTTTTCGTGTCTGACTCGCTTTTGTTTGCTCAGTTTTGTTTTTCAGATTCACCCATGACGGTGTGTGTAGCTGGTGTATTAATCTTATACACAACCATAAAATATACCATTGAATGAATATAACACAGTATTTGATATATTCTATTGTTATTTTTTTTTCAGTTTGGTTTATTAAATAGCGGGTCTGTAGACATTTTTGAGCCAGTATTTTGGTGCATGTGATGCAGGGAAGATGCATGGCTTCATTCACTCAGGAAAGAATTCAAGAGCAAGCAGGCAGTAGAAGCAAGCAGCTTTACTGAAGTGACACTGCCACAGCTCAGGGACTGCTGCTTGTGGAGCAGCGCTAGCCCATAGGCAGTGCACAGGGAGTAGCAACCTATAGGCTGCTGGCTTCCTGCATTGATACCCACTTTTAATTACAAGTGAATTAAGGGGAGATTTATTCAGAAATCTCTAGAAAATGGGCAATAACTTCCTGGTGTTGCCATGGCATTTGTAAACTCTCATGGCACTCATGGGAATGTCTTATGCTGATGGGCAGCAAGGCTAACTAAAGGTTGCTTTTGGCACCACTTGCTGACTTGGGCTGGTTTCCCAACTGTTTTTGGGAACCAAGTCCTTCCAGTCTCCTACCTCACATGTGCCCAGAAGTTTCTTTGAGTATGTATCAAGCAGTAGGCTTGCTGGGCTCTAAGTCATTTATATGTCCAACTTTACAAGGCATAACAAGTTGGTCGCCCAAACAGCTATCCATTTACATTCCTGATAGTCTTATATGAAAGTTTCCATAGCTCCATACTGTTTCCAACACTCAATTGTTAATAAGTTCGCCAATTAACACTTATTATTTAGGTATTAGATCAAATTACATTTTAGATTATTATATTTAAATTAAATTTTCCTAATTACTAATAAAATTGAACATAGTTTCTTGTGTTTATAAGCCTTTTTGTATATGTTAGTTTGTGAAATGCTTACTTGTGACTTTTGCCCATTTTTGTTCTTACTAAATATTTAGTGCTTTATATATTGTGGGTTCTAATTTTTGACACATACATGAGTTGCAAAGAACTCGCCCCAATTTCTGTTAGTCTTTTTGCTCTCTTTATGCTTGTCTTTGTAAAGAGAAATTCTTAATTTTAGCATAGTCCAGTTTGTCAGTATTTTCTTTTGTATTTTGCTATTTTTCTATATTGTCTACATATATTTCTGTGCAACAGTTCTATAAAAATATTCTCCTATATTGTCTTTTAATATGCCTAAATTTGATTTTTGTATATGATAAGGTATGCAATCTAATTTTATTTTTTAGCATGGAAAACTAATTATCCAGTACTGTTTATTGAAAAATCCACCCTTTCTCCACAGCTTTGCAACCAACTGTCAATTATTAGTTTTCCCGCATGCGTGGTTTTGTTTTAAAGCTCTCAATTTTGCTTCATTGGTTTATTTAAATGCACTTAAACAAGAATTTTACTGTCTTCTCATATAACACGATAATAATCATAATGTTGATATATGGTGGGACAAGTGTTCTATTTTATTTTATTATTCAATTGTACCTTGGTTGTTCTTGATCATTTACTATTCCGTTTAAAATTCTGAACCTATTTGTCTATAGAAAAATTTGGGATGAACTGTTATTTTCATAATATTGGCTTTTTCTGTTCATGAACTTGACATTTCTATCAAATTTTTGTTTTTTGTAGACTGTACTGTTCTGCTTAAAATTAGTAAGTGTTGCATATCATTGGTTAAATTTATTTCTCAGTACTAAACATTGTTTGGTGCTATTCTACATAGTATTTTTTTTAAAAAAAAAAAACAAATCTTACTGTTACTGGCATATGGAAATGCAGATAATTGTGAATACTCATTTTGTATCTAACAGTTTTGCTAAAATGTCATACATTGTAAGACTTTATCTGTAACTTTGTTTTGTATGCTGTGAATACACTCATATCATTTACAAATGAGGATAGTATTGTTTTTCCACTCTGGTTCCTGTATTTTTATTTTCTTACTATAGGCAAGGATCTCTCATCCAATGTTTTTAAAAGAAAAAGTAATACAAGTCATCCTTGTCCTGTTCTAACGTCCAAGTTAATGGTTACAAAATATATTTATTGCATATGTTTTTATAAAGCCCCTCTCAAAAGTAAAGGTGTTTCTTGCTATTAACTTTGCTAACATATATGTTTTGGTTTGGTTTAATCATAAATGTGTATTGAATTTTAACCAATGCTTTTGTGCATCTGCGTAAACGATCAAGTTTTTCTCCTTTTATCTTTTGAAATGATAAGTTAGAGTACTCAAATTTTCTAACAATCTTGTATTCATGAAGTGAAGACAACTTGGCTATGGTGAGCATCTTTTTAATACCATGATTTAATACCATGATAGATTTTATTTGCAAATGTTTGGTTTAGGAATTTGGGGACTTCTATATATCCATGATTTGTATTAGTCTATTATTTTATTATCTCATACTTGCCTCTATTTTACTGTTTGTTTTAAGGTTATGTTACTCTCATAAAAATGTTAGAGTATGTGTTTTTCTATTCTCTGAAGTAGTTTGTGTATGCCTAGTATTTTTTATTTCTTGAATATTTATTTTAATAGTAAGACTCTCTGTAAAGTTACTCAGGCCTGCTAATTTTTCTTTGTGAAAATACTTTGAACTATGGATATACTTGTACTAAATATGGCTATTTATGTTCTCTCATTTTTCTTGAGCCAGCTTTGATAAGTTGTATGTTCTAAAAATGTATCCATTTCATCTATGATTTCAAGTATATTAGCATAAATGTGTTTATAATATCCTTTTATTATCTTTTAAATCTTCTGCATCTGAAGTTATATCTTCTTTTTCATCTCAATTATTGTTTATTTGTATAATCTCTGTCTTTTTCTAAATTAATATTATCAATTATTTGCCCATTTTGTTTTCAAAGAAATAACTTTTGACATTTTAATTTTTTCAATTGTGTATTTGTTTTCCAATTCTTTATTCTCTTTGTGAATGTGTTTATTTAATGTGCTTTATTTGGGTTTATTCCATTTTTCTTTTTCTAACTTTTTAAGTTTGATGCTTAATTGATTAATTTGACAGTTTTCATCTTTTTAATGTATGCATATAAGCTTTAAATTTCTCTAAGTATTTACTAACTTAATCCCACAAGTTTTAATATGCAGTATTTTAATGATCATTCAGCAATTCATTTTAAGATTTTTCCATTATGATTTCCTCTATGATCTATGTTTTTCAGAAGCATGTGAGCTTTTTAATTCCAAATATATAATTCTTTTTCTAGGTATCTTTTTTGCCTTTTATTTTTAATTTCTTCATGTTGGTGGAGTATGGCCTACATGATACCAATCTTTTGAAATATATTGAGACTTATTTTATGGCCTCTTTTGGACAATTTTTATAAATAGTTCAAAAATTCTTAAAGAGGAGGCTATATTCTAAAATCATTTCGTCTGTTTAAATCGAATTGATGCTGTCCAAATCTTTATCTACTTACTGGCTTTGTTTGCTCAATGTGTCAATTTTTGAGAGATTGCATTTAAAGTTCCCAATATCTTGGTAAATTTGTCGACTTCTCCCTATGTACCTGTAATTTTTCAAAGCATATAATTCAAAGCCATATTATTACATTTTATATAATTCTAAAATCACTATGTCTAACTGGTTAAGTAAACTTTTTATCATGTTTTTTCTTCCTTAGAGTCTATTCTTTTTGTGATATTTTGGTTAGCATTTGTTTGGTGTGACTCTTTTTATCCTTTTACGTCCTTGTATGTTCAGAATGTGTGTGTGTGTGTGTGTGTGTGTGTGTGTTGTT